TGGCCGAGATATTTAGCGTCAACTGTTCGGTGTTGGCGTTGGACGAGCCGACCACTAATCTGGACATTGAGAACATCTCCTCATTCGCCACCGCTATCACCGAAATTGTCAAATACAGGAACAAAACCAAGAATTCATTTCAATTGATTATCATTACACACGACGAGAAATTCTTGAGTTGTCTCGACTCAGAGACGGGTCAGTATTACTACGAAGTCTCTAAAAAGAACGGCTTCTCAACGATTGTCAAGAAATCGGTTAATGTTAGACAAGAAGAAGAGGAGGACAATGCAAATGGCAATTAGTGGTGACATTAGAATTAACCTTTTTATTTAATGTTTTATTGATAATAACATTTGTAATCATAATTATTACAATTATTGTATAATTTATAAGTTTTAACATACGGTAAGTGTTGTCTGTTTTGTCTCAAATTTTACACTTATTATGTGTTTTTTGTCTAAACCGATCACTTCTGTCAGCCGTCGATGTGTTCATTGAAAACATGTTTTTAAAAATAATATATTTTTCAATTATTAAATTGTCTTTTATTTAGAAATTATAAAATTTGCCAAAATTCACACAATTTTCAAACTCTAACCGATGGCTCCTCTCAGCCGTCGTTGCGTTCAATGAAAACATGTTTTTAAAAGTTTTATATTTTTTGAATTATTTGTAAACAAAACAATACTTTAATTATAAATCAAATTTTGTATTCAATTCACTGATCGACACATAAAATGAATAAAATTGTATCAAATTTACTCAAATCTGGTCTCAAATGCAATACAAATGAAGTGTTTGTCCGACACTTGCGGTCATACGTGAGGAAAGGTGTGGACGAACCCAAGTATTTGGATTATCTTAAGCCACAAATACCATACTATCCGCTCATTAATGTCCAGGTATTTCATACACAACACACCACTCAACACATCCGCTCACGAGGAATATTCTCTGTGTTTGTTTGTCCCGACAACAGGTCCGCGGATACGATTACGTGGTGCTCGAGAGTTATGGCAAATTTCTGCACAATTTGATGAACAAATTGGGTGTAAATGTCGTGAAGTATTGGTGTTCACCGCTTCAGTCCCTTCGATACGACTCATTGAGACCCGAGTCTGAGGTCACGGACTCTCAGTTCACGCTTAATATATACGAACGGAGTCTTCAGATCGAGAACTTGTCGGCAAAGATGGCACCCGTTTTGCTGGAGATTGTGTTGAGTTCACTGCCGGCCGGCGTTCACATGAGTGCCGAAGAACACGACCCGTCAGTCCACGAAGAGTCCCGATATATACCTGACCTTCAATTGGCGGCCTTTAAGTCAGAATTACAAGAACTGAAAGGAAATATGAGCGACGATATCGAAGATCCCAAAAAAGCCAAAAAATAGTTCATTTTTAGTTGACTTTAATTTAATAATAAATATAGAAAATTAATAAATTGTAAAATCTATGTATAGTATAAATAAAGATGTTTTCTCTAAAATTTTATTAATATTTGGTTTAATTTTCTTCTATCCGTAGAAATTCTATGATTTTATTTCATTTTCATATGATTTTAAAATAGATATCAATTCTAAATGTCTTTTTCTCTTAAGTTTCAAATTATATTCATGTCCTTTGGATTTCAGATGTGCTTCATATGCAACCAAACCGTCCAATACTTTACTACAATCCTTGCATTGAAAGCGTTTTGAATGATTTTCATTCACTTCTATCTTTGGGACGGGCTTTATATGAGACGGAACTTCACTTTTGGTCACATATGCCGACACTATAGCCATCGATGGCTCAAACACTTCCTGAGTCCACAGTTCGGGTGAAGTTGTGTCCAATCGGTAAATATTGGGAACTTCTCTATCATTGAGTCTAAGAAATCGGTTTCGAATCCATTTTAATTGATGTCTTGCATAACGTTTGGTCACATATTTTAACGATTCCGTCGATTCTCTTAACATTATCTCTGAAAATGGATTTGTTTTGCGCTGTTCTTCAGTCAGAAGCAAATATTTGTGAAACTCTTTGAAACCAATCGATTGAAAGATTCCTTTAGAATAGTCAGCGCTTCTGTAGATATGATAAGAAATCAATCATTTATTAAATAATTTAAATAATGTTTTAAAATCTTACAAATTTTGTGAAATTCTTTGTTTATTATAATTGTGATGAAAATCCAGAAGTTCTTCGATGAGTCCTCTTTCCATCATTTCGTCCACTCTTTTGTCTAACCTTTGGTTTAAAACTGATTCATAAATCAATTAAAATATATTTCTTCTGTCAATGAGTTCACAATGAATACCATTATTATCGCAATCCATCCAAAGAATCACCGAATTCTTGAACCTCAGAGGACCGCCTAATTGTGAGCCGCCATTCATTGTCTTTTGTTCACTAATTAACTCACTTTTGGGTCTTTTCTTTTGTTGATATATTTGTAAACTTCGGATCACTTTTCGCTTATTTTTCGGATGAATCTCAAGAGCAGTGATTGGATCCAATTGTTCAAGAATTTTATGTAATATTTCACTCGATATGTCACTAAAACTCCCTGAATATATCGGTTCAGACATTATCCTCTCTTTTGTCAATTCTTCTTCAGACCATTGATGGCATCCCTCCTCTCCATCAAAAACAAGACATTTTTCATCCAACTCTTGGTTGGAATCAATCAAAACCTCCCAAAGAATGGATTCGATGTAATAATTAGTTCCTCCGACAAGAATCGGAACAATTCCTCTCGACATGAGATCTTTGATCTGCAAATGAAAGCAACCATTCAATTGATTCATTCCTCGAAGTCTAGCCATTGATTCAAATCAATACCACTTTTAGGGCTCTATTCCTGAAGTCAGTGACAGTGAAACGACTCATCGGATCCAAGAAATCAATCAAATGGTGAGGAGTGAGAGCTCTCTCAGAAGTGGTCGCCTTATTAGTGATGATATCGAGTCCACAGTAGACTTGCATTGAGTCCGCGCTTATAATCTCTGCCCTAAACTCGTGGCACAACTCCAGCGATAGTCTAGTCTTTGAACAACCCGTCGATCCTATGATCGCAATCAGCGGTACATCTCTTGCACTCATTGTCTTCAATGTCTTCATTGTATTCATCACTGAATCGCTTCTCGAAGACAAGCGTCTAATGAATTGCATTTCATATCAACAAAAATCACATGTTTTTTATTATGTATTGTCATGTATTGCATAACTCAATGCAATCGTTGCTATAATTTGGGCCTTTTTTATATGGATTGAAAGCATTGGTTAACAATTAGTTTCGTTGCTAACAAAAGGGCCCAAAAATAATGAGTAAAAAAGTGCATAAATTATTTGTTTATTTGTTTTAAATGTCAAAACGCGTTGTTTAGCCCTTAAGAGTCTTAAGACATGCAATGATCTGAACTACCATTGAATCCAATGATAATCACTTCATTTGATTCAGACATGAATTCGTCGCTAATCCTGTCAGAAGTGGTGATTAAGTAAGTGATTGATCCCTATATTGAATGCCATAACAAGACAATTAACTTTTGTGTTTGAATTGTTTCCAAACACAGAGACAATGATTTATTTATACCGAAAAGACATCGAAACCAATCGGTCTGTACTGAGAGTCACAGCGATTCCAACGACGAGATTGTGGTCACCATTGAGAATGTGGTGCGGATGGAGACCACTGAAGACACGTTCTCTGTTGATGACTATCAGCTGATGAGGTCTTTAGGACTTCCCACTCGTTTCACGTCCAGAGACGCCAACAAGAGGTCGAAGAGATCTCAACAAAAGACCAAAACTGTTGCCAAACAGAAGAAGTTTTACGAAGACATCGACGCCGTGTCCGAAAAGTTGTCCGATTTATTGAGCAGAGAGTGCGACGAATCTCATGTCGATATAAGTCCAGTGATGTCGCCGATAGAGTCCATGAATGACACGTTAGAAGATTTCGGTTCCGTTCAGGCGTTTAATCGCCCGAAAGAAGTGAAAGACTTGAGTCACTTCAAGAGAGAGCACTTATGGCTCGATATGGCTGTTGACGCCACTGAAGAGCAACACTCAGATGACAAGTCTG